AGTAATGACATTTGAAGCATCTCTTTTAGATAGAGTTACGTAGAAGCTGCAACATCGAAACATGTCATATTGTTGATCTTCATGGTTATCTAACATAGTGATACAATAGTGTAGTGGCAATGTTACTAGGGCAGTATTCCGGAGGCTAGGGCTAGTGATGTAGAGGCATAGGTTCAAATCCTACCACAGCAATTAGAAAATTTAAAATCTGTGAATTGAACCTAGAGTGAAAAGTCAATAACTGTAACAGAGATTGAGACTCTCAGACAATATTAAAAACTTATCTGCTTCATTAATGACAAGGTGCGGTGAAGGAAATCTGCTGACTTAGCCAGTGTGGCAAACATGCAATACAGACTGTTGGTGGTTGACTCTTAGCTGTCCTCCGAAATGACCCATAAGCCACTCAGTTATATTCAAGAAGGAGGGTTACCATTACCTTCTCGAAGCCAAGTAGGGCAATAAATGGTGATTTTACCTCCCGTGAAGGAATATTTTAAAGAAGGGCAGTGTCTTTATCACCTTAATTGATCTGAGATTTATAGAAAGGGACGTTATTACTTGCAAGTCAAGATGACTAGACTGGGATGGATACAGATCAGTTATCATCTAATTGAATGGTGGAACAGGGTCTGAAAGGGGCTGAATAACCTCCTCCTGTCCCTATGTTCCTATATGTGTGCATTTCGATAGAATTACACCACCAATGTGCCTGATTCACGTTGTTCCATTTTGTGCCTGCTTCCCTTGCTCCATTTTCATATGGTTTATTGCAGAGTGTTCAACAGGAATACACAACGCTACTTTGCTGTTTAATCCGGGCATTCCCCCAAAGGCCGGAGTTCCAGGACTTGGTGCAGTTAACAGACCACGATCCAGAAATGGACTTCTTCGAGAATATGAAGCATATACAGGTGGACAATACAATGCATTCATTTTTCTACATTCAGATATTGGCAATAAAATCTCCCCCAGAACAGGGTGTTTATTGTGGATAAGAATTAAATCAAATTACTTGAAAATTAGCTGGGTTCTTAAACTAACTGGGCATTGAGATTAAATAGTTGGAATGGTAATGATAAATAAAATAAATTGAGAGGCATGCCCAGGCACCATATAATACTTTAAAATTGCCTTTCATCAATTGACCTTTGTATGAGCATGAATATTGCAGCTCCTAAGAAGTCTAGAATTTGATTAGGTGACTTTAAGTAATCAGTGCTTAATATGTCTGTAAAAATCTCACCTCTTGCAGCATTGAAATGGGTTATAACTTACTGAATATGAAATGGTGAATATTCTAAATATAAACTAAGCTTAATAATTTCCAGACTTAAAATACAAGATTCCTGTTTGAAGCTGTATAGTTCTACAGAGAGGATTGTTATGCTGTTCAGCAGCATCAGGCAACAAGCAAAATATTTAACATTGATATTAACCAACTGTAGACTAGCTCACTTCAAGTTAATGTTGCAGTTAAGTGATGCTAAGAGATACATTCACTAAGTCGCATACTTTATATATATATAAAGAGAGAGAGAGAGAGGATTGATGGGATTGTGACCCAAAGATGGATACCATCATGTCATCTCCCTTGATTGCTGTATGATTTAATTACCCTCTAATATTGGCTATTAATAACCAAGGGACAGCTGTTTAGTGTTTCAGTGGTGCTCCAGCAACCTAAACATTTTTCAGTTCAAATCCCACAATGGGAAAGTTATAGGGAAACACCAGGAAGCTACAGTGAGGAAGAAGGCTGTTCACCCAGCCACACAGTATTGTCATTTACCCCAAACAAAAACTTCTGCTCCCATCTTTCTTTCTCTTTGCACAGCCTTTCAATCTCATTTTGCCATCATTCACCTACACAATTTAATCTGAATGGTAACTCAATCACTAGGGCTGGAAGTGCATCACAGTTGTGTGTGTGCGCGCATGATGGTATTTCTTTATCCTAAACCTGTCTCATTTTGTTTTATATCTGTGGTCCCTCAGTCAATGACCCTCAACTGGAGAAACTATTTCTATCTACCCTGTCACCCATCCTCTCTCATTTGTGAAAGTCAGCTCAATAAATCTTATTGCTACCTCATAAAATGATCACGGAGCTGCTGGATTTTCGTAAGAGCAGTATAGCCACTTGGTCCTGGAATCCTTATTTAAGGATGGATTTACTTGTGTTGGAAGCAGTTCAGAGAAGGTTCACCTGGCTGATTGTTAGGAGGAGTGTTTTGTCTTATAAGAAAAGGTCATGCACACTGGGCCTATTTTTATTGGAGTTTAGAGGAATTAGAGATGGCCTTGGTGAAATACACAAAATCTGAGGGGGGATTTCACAAGGTGAGAGCGAATCATGGGTAATCTAGAACTAGGGGACACGATGCAAAAGTTCATGACCGAGATGAGGAATTTCTTCCCTCAGAAGGTCATGAACCTGTGGAATTCCCTCCCCCAAAGTGCAGTGGAGGATGATCATTGATTAGATTCAAGGCTGTGTTTGATCAGGTTGTGATTTAATGGGAATCAGGAATTAATGGGGGTCAGGTTGGGGCTGGAGGTTGGATATAAGGCCATAATCAGATCAGCCATGATTTATTGATGGAGTGGGTGTGAGAGGCTTAACAATCTATTTTTGCTCCAGCTTCTTATGTTCTTATGTTCCAAAATCCAACTACATCACTAACGTTCTTCTGGAAAGAGGAACTTGTCCTTACCTGGCCTGCCCTGGGTGACAGCTCAGTTACATGCCAACATGACTGACTTTTTAATGTCCAAAGGACAACGATCATGATGTTGCCAATATCACATCAAAGGGCAAAGCAAAGTTCTAGGTGTCACCTTTTCAGCTAATGCTATTTGAGTTTACAGTGAGCAGGATTTGGCAAAGTGTAGGCTGTCCTGGTGATATTTCTTTCCTTGTGCCAACTGTGTTTCAGTGGGTCACATTCTCGCCTCTGAGTCGGGCTTCTTGGTTTGAGTTCCACTCTGGAGTTTGAGCACCTAAAGCAAAACTGATTCTGCAGTGTAATACGAAGGGAGTACTGTACTGTTAGAGGTGCTGCTTTGTCTGCCTCTTCAGGTGGGTATGGAAAATCCCATGGGGTTGTTTCTAAGGAGATGAGAGGGTTATTCCTGAAGTCCCGGCTAATCAACTTCACAGAAACAGGTTATCCACTCATTATCACATTGCCCTTTGACGGAGCTTCCTTTGAGCAAATTGACGGTTATGTTTTCCACAATACATAATGACCATGCTTCACATGTACTTAATGGCTGTAAAGCCTATGGGATGTCTGCTGATCATGAAAGGCTCCATATAAATGCAAGCGTTCTTCTTTTCTGTTTGATATTCAGATTCATAGGAGAGCCCGTGCCCTGAAAAAACTAGCGAAGCAGCTTGATGAGAAAAAGATTACGTTGTCCTCAAAATCTTTGGTGAACTACATCCTGCCATTTGCTACTTCAACACTGTTCAATGAGAACATGCTGAAGGTAAGAACTGCATTTATAAAACATTGAGACTTGAAGAGGCTGACTGGAACCTGGTCCGTCATACGACCGAGACCATGGCAGAGTGGTAAAGTCTCTAGTAATTCAGAGGACCATATTAATGTTCTGAGGACATGGGTATGAAGAACAGCAGATATATGGGAACACCATCGTCTGCAAGTTCCCCTCCAAGCCACTCACCGTCCTGACTTGGAAATATATCACTATTCTTCAGTGTCGCTGGGTCAAAAACCTGGAATTTCCTCCCAACGGCATTGTGGGTGTATCTGCACCAAATGGTCAGCAGTATTTGAAGAAAGGCAATTCATCACCACCTTCCTGAGAATGGTTAGGTACGGGCAATAAATGCTCACCCAGCCCAGCAATGCCCACATCACCTGAATGAATTTTTAAAAAGCCTTTATTAATTTTAAACATTTCCATTAGATCCTTTTGAGGGAAACTAAGTCGATTCAAACTCACTTCATTTAACCCTTTCCTCAACATTGTTCTTATGACTTTATGATTCTAAATGAAGGGATCTATGAGGATATGAAGCATGAACTTGCAAAGATGGATTGGAGCACCTTATTAAGCAGGGGGCTGGTGAATAGGTACTGGTTCATATTTAAAGAATATGTGCATGAATCACAACAGCCATTCAGTCCAAACAAACTCAGAAATGGCTGGAAAAGCCTAACAGGTCAGGCAGCATCTGTGGAGAGCAGCAAAGTCCTCGAGAACTGATTGTAGCTAGGAAAAGTTTGGTATATATGCTGAGGATGGGGAGGGGAGAGGAGTAAACGATAGGTGGAGATAGAGCCCCGAGAGAGAGAGAGAAACGCAGTTGGGCAGAGAAAGGTATGTGTAAGGTTCACAGGTTGTTTGTGGTAGCAGCCCATGTGATGTCAAGGCCTGGTGTGTGGCTGTTTCGGTAGGGAAATGCGAGAAAGTGCTCAGGCCCTAACATTATTGAAAATTATTATAGAGAAAAGTTGGGGCAGTTGTGACTTACAAAAGGAATTGCGAATAGTATTAGATCCAGAGAGGAGATATTTAAAATTCCCAGATGAAACAGCAAGCCTGAGGTTCGGGAGCACTGTAGAATTCAGCAAAAGAGGGTAAAAAGTTTGATCAGAAAGGAGAATTTCAGAGAACGTAGAAACTGACCATAAAAATATGAAGAGAAAAGAATTAGTAAAGACAAATGTAGGTCCCTTACAGGCAGAAACTGGGGAAATTATAATGGGGAGCAAAGAAATGGCAGATAAATTGAGCGCACATTTTGGTTCTGTCTTCCCAAAAGATTGCACAAATAACCTCTCAGAAATGTTCGGACAGAGTTTAGTGAGAGGGTGGATTTGAAGGAAATCAATATTTATAAGAAAATGGTTCTGGGGAAATTAGTGGGGTTGAAGGCTGACCAATCATCAGGACCTGATAATTTACATCTCAAAATACAAAAGGAAGTGGCCCTTGGAATATTGGATGCATTGGTGGTTGTCTTCCAAAATTCTGTAGACTCGGAGCAGTTCTTACAGATTATCGGGTGGGAAATGTAGGCCCACTCTTTAAAGGGGGAGGGAGAGAAAAAACAGAATTACATTCCAGTTTGCTTCATGTCAATAGTGGGGAAAATGCTAGAGTCTATTGTAAAAGACATGATAACAGAACATTTGGAAAGCATTAACTGGATTGGACAAAGCCAGCAAGGGTCTATGAAAGGCAACAGAAACAAAGTTGCTGGAAAAG